AGCATTCTCGCTTGTTTTTTTTTTGGAGGGGGGAGGGGGTGGTTCCTGCACTATATTCTTGAATCTGGGCTTGAGCAGCTTATGTAATATTTACAAAACTATTGGGAGCAAGGTTAATCGATATTACAACAATGTGTTTTCAAATATTTTCATTTTCTCATACGATATATTAAATGTACAAGTACATTGTACAAATCTTTTCTGTGACAAAAAACCTCTAAATATCATTATAATATTCACATACGCATCATTTTACATTTTCACCAATGCAGTGTAGATTACTAGATATGGGAAGCCGCAATACCAGATAAGTAAAGTATGTGATTGTGCTATTATATATTATAACGCTATTATAAATAGCAAAAGAAACAATACTACAAGTATATCAATAGATATTGGGGGAGACAAAATATCGGTACAAAAAATGCGAAAACGTATGAGAAAGAACCGTTTAAAAAAACATACAACTTCGTGAGCGTAAACAAAACATTTGATCGTGAGGATGAATTTTTTGTCTCACGCACAGCTCTACTCGCACATCGTCCGCTTCTTGTCAATTTTTTTTGTTTTTGAACAATGTATGCATGTAGAGACATGTATTTGTGTCTCGCCACATACTATTTATGATTTATTAAGTGTGTGCGTAGGTGGGCGCATGGGTGTGAGTTTGTGTGTGTGTGTGTGTGTGTGTGAGTGTGAGTGTGTGTGTGTGTGAGAGTCGGTGGTGCTTAAAGAACAATGGAAAATGAGGGCTATTGAGCAGCGACGTACCATGCGATTGAGAATGGGAATGCGCGCACGCGAGTGCGAATGAAACTGGCGGTTGAGGAAACTGTCGGTGGTAGATGCCCGTACCGCTGGAGCAACAACAACTAGAGAAACGGCAACAATAGCAAATTGGATAATGTCTATAAAAACTAATTGAATTCTAAGCGCAGCGCACGCTACGAAAGCAATTTAACAACTTTTTCCTCTCCTGTGAGAAAGCAAAGAAAGCGCTCCTAGAAAAACGAAACTCAACTGATGACATGCAAGCGGTTCATGAATGTGTGTGTGTGTGTGTGTGTGTGTGTGTGTGTGTGCGTGCGTGATGATGTGTGTGATCGCGAGTGTGAGTCTGCCGTGGAGGGAGTCGAATACTTAAGTGTGGGCAGCACAGTTGTACTCGCATAATGAAAAACAATTTCACACAAACGTACAGAAACAAAACAGACTTGAGAAAAAAATATGCTCAGCGTTTGGGTGGCGGATCATAAAAAAGAACGCCATAGCGAATAGCGAAACAAAAAGCTCATTACTCATACGCCAATCAAGCCGGATGGAGTGGAGCTGGGATAGACGCAGATGTGAAGAGACGTGGCGATAAGAGAGGAGGGCAGCAGAGGCACAGCCGATTGCTACAAATACAACTCGCTCGATGTAGCTACCACCGAAGTGGCCATAATTAATCATTCGCTTATAATTAACAGCACACTATGTCGAAGTAGAACAACGTGCTAATGTTAATGTATCTTGTAGGTACACAAGCTACGCAAAGTGCGTTGCGTATGCCAGCTAGGAGGGTTCAAAAGGTTGCCAAATGTTTTTGTGCAGCATTGCCACAACTACTTGAATGTGAGGCGGATGGCCACACAACTGGACGGCTGACGGACATGCATACATAGATACATACTCGTACATAGAAACATCCGTGTCTGCGGACGAGGGCCAACTGAGTGATGTGCACGCTTGGCGCAGACATCGATGGCCATTAGCGAAAGATGACGACGACGTAAACGACAAGACATTGTACTCGTAATACTTCTATAATGGATCTGTTATCTCTGCGCTTAATGGGTTAACGCTGAGAGGCAAACGACTGTGCCGCTGCTTTTTCGTAGGGTGCGGCGGGGCTCTGACTGGGGCTGTGGCTGGTGCTGGGCATGGGCATGGGCCTGGGCCTGGGGAGCTGGATGACTGACAGTCCCCCGGCTGGTAGGGCTCTTTGGTTGGCTGCATGGTTTTGGGCTATTCGGTTGGCCACAGCGAGCTCAAAGCTCAAAATTAAATAATTAGTCGCTGGCTAAGTTTTTCGCTGCTGCTGCGCTGTCTGTTCGCACGGTGTAATGACCTTTTAAGTACTGTTGAGATACTAATCGCCTGCTGTAGTTGTTTCTTTTGCTATGTTGTTCTCTAACAGTTAATGGCTTGTGGCTAGTACTGAAAATAAGTATTTCAAGTACAGCTTTCGGTTGCTGCTGCTTCTTTGGCTCACTAATTAACGGACGGCTTTGCTTTTCTTTGCTTAGGGCCAAGCCCTTCGCATGGTAAGGCGAGGCGTTAAAGCCGCATCAGAAAGTTTCTCTGATCCGCATTAATTAAAATTTTGATAAGCACAATCGTTAAAGTCGCTGTAATAAAAATTGTAAATGAATTGCTGGAATTTTTGGTCGCCCAAAGGCTTGGCGCCGATGGCGGCATGCTTGTGCCAGACTTATCGCGAAGTATCTACAAATAATAGGCGACTAATAGGTATTTCCCAACCTCACCGAAAAAGATCGCAATGTAACTCAATATGGCGTGAATTTTTGTTGGTATCTGCGACAGAGAAAGTGTTGGAATATGGTTAGCTGTTGGGCAGTCAGCTAATCACTCGAACAAAATATACATTATTTGAATGTGTTACGCCACCAGAAGAATTCCATAATAAGTAGCATGATACTTTATTTAACAAATGGTGAAAAGGGTATATTAGGTTTCAAAAGGAAGCTTCTCCGACCTCATAATGTATATATATTCTCAATCAGCGTGATAAATCGATCTGACAGCATGATAAGTGAAAACTGATCTAGATAACTTTACTTACATTTGCACATCATCAGTTAATTAAAATACATGTATGTTAATAGCTCTAATTAACACAAGACACATTCTGGGGCGACGAACCTTTTGAAAAATCACCGTTGCCTTCAAACAACATAAGTATCCAAAAGCTATAGCTTTCGTGAACGTTCGAAGTTGAGTTTGAGGTTATTCGTATGCAGTTAATTACAATTTGGAGCACTCGCAATTGCCAGCAACACGTCAAGGTGGGAAATTAACACCGTCACACAAACACGCTCACAAGGAGTCATACAAGAAGGGCAAGGAGCCGGGAAGGGAGCAGGTAGGGGAAATCGTTAAGCACACATATTAATGTGTGTGTGTGCTTCGAATTTAACATTCAACAACAATAACATCGTGGGTGACGGTGACATTTGCGCTCTTGCAATTCATTAAATCACACACACCGACAAAAACATGAGCAACTGAAAACAACAAAAAAACAGAGCCCAGTCTACCCTCAGTGGGCAATTGCGAAGTTTCTGTTTGTGTCAGCGACACAATTGGCTGACTCCCCCAGCCCATGTTCCCAATTCACAAGCATAGTGGGCGGGCGGGCATATCCTGCCAGCAGGAGCCACAAAAAGAGGAGGAAGACCAACGCAACCACAACACGCAATACTCGCATTTCATTAGACACTTTACAGTGACAAGTCCTATTACTCTAACAGACGTCTAAGCAGGGCCGCATCAAGGAATAAAAGCAGCAACGACAACAACGCCATCACATCGAATTTGTTTCTCTGAGTATCAAAAGAACCTTGGCGATGCTTTTCTCTGTATGTTTGTACGAGTATGTAAGTTGAACTGGGCTTAAAGATGCCCTGCCCAAGTTGACATCCGACACCAAGCACTGGGCATAAAGCTACTTAAGCATGAAGAGCATTTGTTGAGCTACAATACATGTCCAAAATGTAGCAAGTAAAAACAGTCTTATACGAGCAGTATCTCTGAGATGTAGGTCGGACAAATTCTCGGAGAACTGCGAATTTTGAAATATACGTGTAGTCCATAGACTTATGGAGCATCTGTGTGCAAAATTTGGAGTCTCTAGCTGTTATAGTCTCTGAAATGTAGGTGTTCATACTAACGGATGGACACACAGATGGACTTGGCTAAATTCTAATGCTGATCAAGATTACTATACATATATACCTTTGCCTGTTAAATATTTTTCACAGTACTCTTTAATCTAATACCCAATACCCATTGCACTTTAAGATGCAGGGGATAAGAACCACAAGTTTATTAAATGGGATTATTAAATGGGATGCTTATCTTCTTCTCTGATTTCTGAAATTATAGTTCTAGCAGAGATTGCTTGCCAAATATTATGATATTAGTAGCTCTTCATCATCATTTCTTATCGAAAGGAAAACATTCAAAGTCAACCTTAAAAGGAGTTTTTGCATGATTTTATCCATTATCGGGGCTCATCTGATTTTTTAGGAGCAGTCTTTTTTTTTTTTAATAATACCATATTATGTTTTGTGTAAATGGGAGACAGCTTATAACTCACCAGCTGCCATCGGGGCGCATTTGAGCTTACTAAGTGAACATCACAGTCTAAATTCATAAAAAGGAACACAACACGAAGCATTTAAACACAAAAAAAGCTGTCAGGCTCAAGCAAATGAGTCTTCCATTATTCATACACCAGGTATCCCTACCAAGCAAGTGGCGGCTAAGCTTCTGCAGAGCTTGTCTCTCTCCCACCAGTGGCATTGGTGGTGCTTCGTCCCGCCCCGCACCGCCCCACCACACCCCGTATCGTGTTGCCACTACAAACTAATTAGAAGCCGCCGCGTAGGCAACTTGGGTATTCGCTGTTGCTTTTATTTTGCCAACAATTTTATATTATTTATATAAAATGAGTGTGCTTTGGCCAGCCTTCCGCGCACACTTTTTTCGGGAAGAGTCGCCGAAAATAAATGGCCTGGTATTAGGCGACAATGTTTCATTTAGCCAGGAACTTAATTTCCGCCCTGCAGAGCGTGTATAGTATTTCCAAAATGAAAATGTTAAAAATGAAAAATAGTTGTGCAACCTTTTTGTCTTCTGCTTAGTCACTCCCGTTCGCCTGCTCGGGTCGGTGAAGGGGAAAAAGAGAGTTGCGTGCTAAAAAAGCTGAAGCTTACCTGAAAATACGTTTGACCCTTGTCCACCCAGCCGATAGCCATATCCGCACCAGCCAGATTGCCATCGGGCGAGAATCCGAAGCCGACATAACCTAATGTACGTGCTTGTATTTCAAATGTTATATCCTGATTAATGATTTGCCATAGTATGCGAAAATCCTCATTCAAATCGATGGCATGATCCCAAATGGGTATCGCCGTCGTAGTCGACATTACTGCTGCGGTCCCGCCTTTTCCCCCAGTTGTTTCTGCTGCTGTCGCCGTCGTCGTCGCGTTGTTGCTGTGGCTGCTAAGCATGATGTTGCTGCTGCTGTTTGCAGTCCGTGCCTCCGCCAACAATCCAGTCCGGTCCAGCAGGAACAACAACATTTGGCAGGATATAAAACATGTGATTAAAGATGGCCGCCTTGAACTTGTACGCGTGCCTCGTCTCGATGATGTTGTTGTTGCTGCTGCTGCTGCTGCTGCTGCCGCTGCTGCTGCCGCATGCCTCATACGCACCATTTTGTTGGCTGCCTTTTGTACTTCACGCGACTGGGAGGGAGGCGGTCAGTTTTGTTGGCTGTTCGGCTCCTACAAACAGTTGGCCAGTCGTCGGAATTGAGTGTACGACATTTATTACTTTGAAATCTGGGACGTGTCGCTTGTAATTACAGATGCCACTGTTTTCCTTTTTGTGTGCTGCAGCGCCGCCGTCTTTATCTGCTGCTATTGCTATTGCTGTCGTTTCGTCTTTGGTACTATCACAGTTACGATTATTTAGTAATGATAATAATGGCCACACAGTTTTACTTTCGTTTCTGATGCTGTTGCTGTTGCTGCTGCTGTTGCTGTTGCTGCTTTCTGTTTCCGACTTGTTCCAGAGCTGGGGAAAATACTTGTCGTTGTTGTCTCTCAGTGCGTGTTGTTGGGCTCATTAGTTGCGCTTGTCACAAGTCCAGAGCTGCGCTCGTCGCTTCTACTTTTCGGAGTCTCTCAGCAGCGGTTGCGGATGTACATGTAGCTGCCTGGAAGTAGTCAGATGGGTAGGAAAGAAAAATTATATAACTGCTATAATTTGATGTTGCTATATACTTGTAAGTACATATTGTATAATAGAACGGATCGCAGTAGCTGGCTGCGCGACATGTCGTGCTGCAATGCTTAAGTGTATATAATTACATAATTATGAGGTATGTGATGTGGCTCGTATGTTAACATCTCAAGTCTGCTGTGACAGCTGAGAGATCGAAATAAAAGCGAGCAGATTTTTGAATCGGCTCCAAAGCGCGCTAATTAGCCTGGTCACGCATCTTGCTCGAAGCTCCAGGCGACTGAGTCGACTTCTTCCCTAACTGCTCAAGGGAGAGTACGGGTTGGCTTGACTGGCTCCCCACACACATCCGTTCCTATTCATTTACTCACTTTAATTCACGCAATTAGCGCGTTGCGTTTGGCTTGGCTTTAGCCGAAAGCAAATCGAAGATAATTACGGCTTGTCATAATTTTAATGAAGAAGGTCGCACAACTCGAGAACTCGAGACGGGCACAAACAGCGCGCTCTAAGTCTTCCCAGCTAACCATCTTTGACTTTGTAATCAGCTTGGCATAACTCCACACCATCCTCAAACCCAAACCCAAACCCAAACCAAAAACCCAACCCCAGCGCCAACAACAACAACCGTTCTGCTGCGGCATTGCATTGACATAGCGGCGGTTTATTGTATTAAATGGTCGTGGCTGAGCCGCGCAGCTTCGTGACCGCACTGGCTTGGGCCTAACCTGGACGACATCAATGTCGAGTCTTCCTGTCTGCGAGTATCTGGTGTGCGGTTACATTTGATTACATGTCAAAAGTACAGAACCCAACAAAACTGCCAAAGCGACACCCACAAATCGGGGGCGTTCCATTTAAATCTTTAATGCGGCCTTTTTAGGTAAATGTCAAACGCGTCGGCAATTCGATATAAATAGCACTTCCGGCGCTCAGCTCAGGCAGAAGTAAAGATTTGGTGTCAACAGATACACATAGATACAAGAATATGCTATATATACTACGTATGTCTGTATACTTGTATGTAAGCTACGATATTTAGGCGCTGTGTGGACTTACACGTTGATGTTGTTGACTAAAGTAAATGTTGCGTCTGCTGTTGGTGTTGTTGCGAGAGTGACGTCCAGCTACGTTAAATGACGTTGATTATAATTATGCGGACTTGTAATTTGTACTACAGAGCAGGCGAGCAGGCAGCCTGCTCGGCTGCCCTTTGGCTATTGTTGTTTGTTATTATTATTGCTATTGCTGTTGCTGTCATCGTCATGATGATCGTCGCATTCCCATCGACATTGTGCAGCTGACAACGTTGATGGAGGCGAGCTGCTCCGTCGACCCACAGATGAATGATGTCGCTTTAAGACGGAGCCGGTTGCTGTCGATGTCAGCAACAGCAGAAACCGTAAAATTGAAGCCAATTTAGCTGGAAGCCACGTCAACAGCAACATCTTCGGCTGGTCTTCACAGCATGTTGTCTCCAATAACAACAACAACAACAGCGACGATGGCGGCGCCGCCGATGACGATGACGACGACGATGACTATGACGACGATGATGACGACAACGAACGTCCAATGAAATTCATAAGTATAATATTATTACTTGGCGAATTAACTACACTTTTTGCCGAAGAGCCCAGCAGCCGCAGAAGCAATGAAAACACACATAAAGAGCGACTGGGCCTGGCGATTGGCTCGGTCCGTCGACTCAGTCGAAGCGTGCAACAAGAAGCTAAATGGCACGAAATGGCTTCCGTTGACACATTAGTCGCCTTTACACAAATCAGAGGATGCGATGGATGGATGGAGGGATGGTGGGATGGAGGGGGAAAGACGTGCTGCCGTTTCAGCTGCTGCATGGAAGCGAGTGGTCGGAACAAAAATGATGCTTCTGGAGCAAAAACGAGAACAAATCAAAGACATTGTTCATGGCTTTCATCATTGCACGATTTGTTCGAGCCGGGTCTGTGCTGCTCTTTCCTGTCTTGGCAAGCTGGTTAGCCGTTTGCTTGACTAGGCTGGCCCGATCTGGCCTCTACTGGCCACTGGCAGTTGCGTCTCCGATAAACGACAATGTTGATGAGCACGTTTGTAGTTACAGTGGCACAAAGCCAATGTTTGTTGTTAAAATGTTGCATAATAAAGCTAAAGAGTCTAAAGTGAGAATAAGCTATCGCTTGATTTTATTTAATGAGTTGGCAATAGCAATCATATATGGCTTATCAAATACGTCAATACACTCGTCTAAGATTACGTAACTACATATTCATAATTACAACGTCGCCTTTCGTTCTAGTTCAGATAGTCTTTGAGCGAATTCAGCCCACTGTGCCATCGATTTCTTACTTACTAAACCATCCGACCGCAATGTATGTTTTCATTTTGCAGCTACAAGCTGCCTGCTTCCGGATCTGCTAAGTCTGTTCTCGCTCCGCTTTGACAGAAGCAGCAACCTCTCCACTTGTAGATATTACTTCATCATACTTACATACATACATACACGTACATACTCGTACAATGTAATGCGTATTTGTGCGCTCGATTATAAATGTACATTTGCAAGACGACATGTATGATATACTGATACACTCGTGCATACATAAGTGCGCCCGCCTCTTCACGAGACAGATGCATATACTAGTACATAGTTACATACACACATTCGTATGTACATATATATTTGCGCGTTTATATGTCTTTAACCAACAGGCCTGGCCAATGCACCTGTCATCCTTGTGGCTGCGCCATAAAAGTTGCCTCAGAGAGCGAACAGAAAGGGAACAGGAAAAAATTATTATTTATCAGCGGCAGTCGAGGCCATTGCCGCCGAAGCTGATTCCAAGGAATGTCGGACGAATCTGCCGTCTGAATTATATTTGTGCTCATGTATATGGCCCCACTAATTACTGCACATCATTTGCTTAGTCGACTGACGACGAAGAACGAATATCGCAGAATGGAGAGTGGAGTATGGAGACCGGAGACCGGAGAACGGGGAGGGATATGGAGATGAAGATGAAGATGGTCCAACGACTCTTGGAGATTTAATTGAGAAAAAAGAAAGACTAATTAGAGCTGCACACTGCGTACTTCCACACAGTCACACGTACTTGTATAGTATAGTACATGGGAGGAGGCGCTGTTGGGCTGTACTTGCAAATGCCACGAGGCAGAAAAACAAGTCGAAGCCACTGCTACCAGTACTACGTACCTGTGCCATTTATTAAGGCCTGGTCAAAAGCTGTTTGAATCAAAACTGCAGTCGAGCAGAGGCTTCATGCTGCATGGCCGAGTGTCTTCTTCAGTCATAATGATCATTAAACAAGCTCGTTTACCTGCTCGCCAGCAGCCAATTGCACTAAAAGCTGCCAAGACTTTCAACCTGATGAAAACTATTAGAGGAAAACTGCTGGCCAGTATTGAAGCAGCGGCCAACAGAGCAGTAGCCGGTCTTTATAAATTGCCCCGGCAAAAGGGGAATGCAGGAATGTGGAATGCGCGTAATTTAAATAATAAAAAATATTAATTTATCCTACCGACTCTACTCTGACTCTGCCTCTTACTCTGCCTCTGACTCTGGCTTTGTTCAGGGCGCCCCGACTCGATGTGGCATGCACTTGATGGCAGCCTGCGCAACCTTTTTGCTGATTATTATGGTAATATCTTTTCCTCGTTAGCAATTTTCGTTTGAAATAAATAGTAATTAGTGCGCCCAACGATTTTCCGGTTGGTTGCCACAGTCGGGTTTGCGCTAAGCTTTCTATGCCAATTTTATTGGCACGTTCCAAAAGAATAGCAACAGGAACAGCAACAGCAACAGCAACAACAACAACAAAGAATGCTCTCCGAGGCCACCTGCCACTCAGGCTAACTACAAAGCGATGCAATTTGCTGCACTACTGTGTTTTGGGCACTTTTATTTGATATTTTTCATTAGACAACAAATAAAAGTGCTTTTCCATTCCGTAAGAGTGCGTTGGCATAAATTTGTTTATGCACAATGCTACAGAATCAGCAGAGAAATTTCGACCATAAATTGAAAAGAACACGGAGAAAAAATTGAGCAAAATTAAGAAAACTTTGAACTTTAGCTCAATTTCAGAAATCACAAAATGTTTAAGTATGATAAGGTCAGAGAAATCGAAAGAGGGGACGTTGCAAATACAAGTAAATTGCAAGCTCATTTCTAATATATGTATAGAAATCCATATACTTGTAAATGGTATGTTGCAGATATGCATCACGGCCATACAAAGTAAGTTGTAAGCCCATGTATACTCCTAGCTCGATAGCTCCAATTCAACCTAAATCAGCTCAAGTATTTCCAACTTTTGTGGGCGTGTTAACTTTTCTGAACGTACGGTTTTGGATTCCTCTTCCTCTATAAAATCGACCACATATTTATTATTTGGCGCACTACTTGTATTTCGCTTTAGAATGTAATTGAGCTGGATTTGTTGAAGTTTTTTATTAATCAGATGCGTAAATTATTATTTAAACGCATCGTGCATTAATTAATCAAAATGTAACCCCCTTTGTAAAAAGCTGCGTACGCCCTTTGATAGATAGATAGAAGATAGATAGATAGATCTCTAGATTGGA